TGAGGTGACATTACCGTGTACCATGGATCAGTCAAGAAAATTAAAGAGTATTTTGCTTCTATGTCTTCTTCCTGAAATTCATCACCCAAAGAAATATGTAAGAGCTTAAGCGACTTCTCTGTGGCAGACAAAGAAAGTTTACATCAAGTAACATAGCGATGGAAAAGATACCTCCATTCCTATCCACTTTGAGATATCAGAAACTGGAAGACCCTGATTATTTTGGAGACCCGAGTGCAGAGAAGCAAGTGCCTGAGTTCTTAGCTGATGAAATGGAATAAAGCTTAGATCTGATGAAATAATATCACACCAACATGGTACTAAGAAGGATAGCTTTACCCACACGACATATAAGCCCTTACCTTCGAAAAATGAGCATGCATTAGACAAGCTTGCAGATAGCTTGCTTTCCGTGCAAGGCGAAAAAAGGCAATGAAGTTGCCAGTTCTACAAGCTCTGTAATAGCACGGCTGGTTTCAATACTTAGAACAAGTTAACAAACTAGCAGCATAATAAAAAACAAGGAATAACCTGGCTACACTGCGAGCAAAGAGAACTTCTGAAGTTTGCCTTATTTCTGAAGTCATGTTTGCAAGGTCAAGAGAAAGCTCAGAAGGTTCAACCTACCAGGACGAATTTAATGTTGGGTTAAGAACTTAACACAAAAATCTAAGCTACAATGTTCACCCAGAAGGAGTTACCTTATATCCAGGATGCTTGTCGAGTTTGAGAAGAGCATAATAGCCACGGAACTCTTTTTCAGTAGGAATTGTTATTCCTTTCTTTCTGTGATCATCATACAGTTGAAACAACTCAACAGATGTCTTGTTCATCTGCTCTATATTCAGGTGTGCATCAAACCCCTCTGAAAAGCCCTCTCCCTTTGTATATTCACATAGCTCATGCATTGCAATGATGTGCAGTCTTATCTGTAACAAGGAAATCAATAGTAAGAAACACACATCCAACACAGGGGATCGCTTATCCTCATGTTTAATGGGGGCTTTGTATAAGATCAGAAAACACAAACCATTTGCTCCAGCAAAGTAATAGCTTCTCGGTTGAAAATATGTTGCATTCTTAGATCCATTCGAATAGCTCTCATCCTATCCCACAAGAAATTGTACATGCCAAGAAAGTTTTCGTTGTAAGGTCGGTCTAGCAAACTTAGCAAGTATTCCATTGTATTCTGCAGGATTGGCATTGGTCGTATTAAAATTGCTTCTCGCTCCGCTGTCCTGGTATACTATTCAAAGGCAAATATATTAGTAGTCATCACGGTGAATGGGTAGTCAAGTATATGTCATCTAAGAAAAGCCGGACGCTTAATTGATATGAAAAAAGGTGAGCTTACTTTCTTCACAGCAAGGGACTTGCTCGTCTGGTTCCTATCTCCATCCACACGCTCATAATGATCCAAGTCACCCTTCCTTTCACGCTCCCCCCGTTCTGACTCTGGGAAGATCAAGAAAAAATCCATCAAGATATACGTTTTACAATCACGTACTCACTAGACCTAGACATCAGTTATGGGCAAAATTATATTGTTCACAATGCAGTTCTTTTTAATCAGACTACACACTTGGTTGTCGTTTTGTATAATGGTCTTAGGGTTATGCTTACCAGGACACATGTCAGGGCATAATCCAATGATAAGCGAGGGCTGCTCCAAGTTTTCATTATCAGTCAGGGCATCTCCCTTCAGGGGATCCCTACTTGATTCCAGTGAACTGAATGTTTGTTTGTTGTCCAGAGGTTTCATAGTTCTATTTACAGATGATTTCGTAAGTTGAGTATCAACAGGCCGATCTGCAATAGGCTCCAGTTCACCCTTGAAGCGGGCCAGTCTCTTAGCCCTGGCTTGCTCTTCTCTGTAAAAAATCCACACAGTTCAGAAAACTTAAAGAACTGGTCCACATATTAATATAAAGCAGTGTTGTGTGGTTTAACAATTTACCCTTCAGTACAATCTTGAGACGTAATAGAGTTTCCCTGGATATCCTCTTCCACTGGAGATCTTGTCCTTTTTGTTGCAGGTGAGCTGCTTGTCTTACCCCCATTATTGAAAATATTTACAGAGGAAGGCTGCCCAGGAAATTGAGAATCTGAACTTCTTGAAAGCATATATGACTTTGTGCCTGATGCAGGAGGAGACGTTGAAAACCTATCACAGAAACATTATGCTTAACTAAGAGCAAACTTAAAGGCACATCCAACCAGACAGAGAAAAGCAGATTTATTGCAATATCATTAAGATAAAGCTGCAAGAGAAGTAACCATGACTTCACAGGCTAGTAGCAGAAAATTTCCATGAAACCAATTATATTTAAGGTGAATAGGCTTATACTCCGATTTGCTCACAATAAAGTTTCTTTGGATTGTATCTAAATCCTGAAGGCGGAAAGAAAATAAAAGCTTACAAAGTATGATGAGATTCATGCTGTCTACCTTCGAGAATCATGCTGAGAAAATATGGGGTCATCTTGGAGAGGTTTATCAGAAGGTTTTATAGCCGAAGACTTTCTTCTTGTAGCTTCATGAATTTCAGCTGCTTCATGTGCATAGGGGAATGAAGAGTTTGGGGTTTGTTCTTGTTGAATCAACCTACTGGGATTGCTACTCGACCTCACCGGATTATTCTCCGCAGAAGATGGAGAGCGCCTACAAAGATATGAGAAATGGTTCCAGGACGCAAGTTTAAAAAGTCAATGAGATGATAGACTCAGTATCAAAAGTCAGGGAGAAAAAGACACAGGTATGGTTCAAATTACTACCTCTAATAAAACCACAACATGTGCAATATTTCATGACATTTTTCTAAGATAATCGAAACCAGCAAAAAGAGAGGAAAGACTAAAAACAATTGTAACACTGACAAGAGGATAAAAAGCTTACATCCAAGTTAGGCTAGATGGCGGCTGAACATCTTCTACCAAGCTGCCATTCTCAAAACCAGATACTGGCAATTGATTTCTTCGAGAAAATCCCAAACTCTGATCAGGAAAAAGTTCTGACCGACTGCAACAAAAATTGGAGATTTTATAGACTGAAATTAGTTACATCAAAAACCATGATATTACTAAACATCACGGCCATGAGTATGACATCTCATTTCCTAGCACGTAGACCACATAACAAACTACTGAAATCTAAAAGAGAAAGATACATGACGCAGAACACAGAAGTTGTACAAAATCCCGCAAAAACGACAAGTGTTAAAAATCCCAAAGATAAGATAGTGATACAGAACAGACATAATGTTTTTTTTTCGAAAAGAGCCTGCTGGTATAAATAACCTTCATCTAAAGGAAATGACATACACAACCTTTTCCTTTTTGAATCTTGTGATCGACCAATCTCAACAGCACCATTTCCACTTCTGGAAAGAATATGTGATGTACTAGCTGGAGACGTTGCTAGACGTTCACCGTTATCCTTCAAGAAATTCCTTGATCCATCGTGCCCAAATTGAGGCCTGTGAGGAAAAATGAAGCAGGTGAAATCTTGCTTACTCATCAAGAATAATCCAGCAGCTTTCTTGCTAAAGTCTATAAGCCAAAACCAGCAACAGTGGTCTCTTTAGAGTTTCAAAGCCGCTGCCATAGTAAGCCATAATGTATAAGGCAATCAGATGGGACAGAGAAACCTATAGCACTCAGCTACACCCTGCTCTCTTCCTACCGCTATATTTTCTATTGCAGAAAACTGAAAGCATTGAGATGTGTGATTAACACTGCTGTCAAGCTGCCGAATATGACACTCTTCTTCAAGGAAATATCAGACGTAGACTTTTACCTCTGAACTCCAGGAAATTGGTAAGGTCTCACAGAGGGGGTTGGACGTGGAATAGCTTCTGAACCCCATGATATTCCATTGACAGGTTCTGGGCTCCTGAAAAATATAGCATTAAAGTGTTCTTATGATTTTCTCAGCATCAATATTTGTGCACCATTCAGAAAACTCAAGTAGCACTTTTTCAAAGAAAAAAATTAAAGCTAACAAAATAGACAATTTGGTTTGTCCCATCACCACCTGTTCTGGACTAGACCATTCCCTACAATTCTATAAAGAGTGGAAAATAAAAAGGAGAGCCATAAAAGTAAGTTTTGTAACCTTTGAATTCCAACAGGTCGGTTAGGTTGTCCTGGAGAGGGTGAGGGATTTTGAAAAGCCAAAGGAGGTGTTCGATTGATTGGAGGACTACTGCAAGCAAAAAAAAACATAATAATTTAGGCTAGAATCTAAATGAAGAAGAAAACCCGAGAGTACAAGGAAAAATTAATTAAATAGGTAACCAACCTAACACCATCGTCAGGCACATAAAACTAAAAGATCAAAGGAAGAAAATCAAGCTATACGATTAAGAATGTCTAACCTTCGAACCCCACCTGGTCGGTAAGGTTGCTCTATAAAGGGTGGAGAGTTTTGAGAAGCCAAAGGAGGCGGTGCTCGCTGAACTCGAGGATCACTACGAGTAAAGGACAAAGAAAATCAGCTAACTTAAGCGAAAAAGACCACAAAGAACAGCACAATAGCTCGCCCTAAGGAGACTCACAAAGAACCTAACATTCTCGCAATTTCGCAAAGAAAGAAATCGAAGCTGTAGAGCTAGGTTTATCGAACCTTTGAATTCCACCTGGTCCAAATGATTGTCCTGCGAAGGCTGAATGGTTTTGAGACGCCGGTGGTTGAATTGAAGAATCACTACAAGCAAAATCCCCAATTCGCAGGGTTAAATTTCAAAGAAGAGAGTAAAACCTCAGAACAAAAAGCAAACCAGAAGCTCCCTCCTAAGGAACTTCAAGCAAACCATAGAAATAACATTCGCAATAAGCAACTGAGCTTCAAAACCCAAAGCTTAGAGCTGCCTTAAGCGATATACAAAGCAAAAATTCATAGAAATTCAAGATAAATTAACCTCCGCGTGATCCTAAACACTTCAATAGAACCAAACAAAAAAATCCAGAGCATAATAGATCCATAGCGTGAAAAATCAATCTAAAAACCTCAAAAAGTGGAACGATAGAACGATCATGACATAAATACGCACACGAATCGATACAGAAATTCCACAAAATCGAAAATCACACCTGGTGGGATGAGTAGGAGCGGACGCGCCGCCGAACGTTGTAAACGGCGACGGCTTTGAGCTCATCGCCGGCCCTACATCTTTACCAAAAGGCCTAAACGCCATCTCTTTAAATTATCCTTCAATTCGTATTTCGCAGCTTCTCTTCTTCTTCTTCAACCTTCGTTCACATTCGTCGCCGGCTAAAATCGAAACCAGACCAAATCGAAATTTTTTCTGTTGTCCCGGCGAAGATTATTATTTCACATTTTTCATATATACGACGTCGTTCTACCTTTCGAAAATTTCTTATTGGGCTTTTTATGTAAAGTTGGGCTTTATGGGCTTTGTCAAGGAAAATTATTGTTATGAAGAACGTGCGCATGTTGTCGCCATCTTCTTAGGTAGAGCATCAACTTTTCATGACCGTTGACATTTTCTCGAGAAAAATAAAATAAAATAAAATTTCCCTCTTTTATTTTTTCCTGGGAAAATAATTCATTTCCCAATTTTCGATCTCTCTCTCTACTTCTACACCAACTCTAGACCATCTGGATCCAAGCGACTACGATACTCATGTCGATATCTCGTCGAGGATTGTCGCTGTTCGTCGCCGTCTTCATCGTCTTGCTTCAGTTTTCCACTTCTCTGATTAGTTCTCCAAGTTCTATAATCAACCCTTCTAAAGTCAAACAAGTTTCTTCGAAACCCAGGTTTGATTTTCCCCTCTTTCTCCGTCTATTGTCTGATTCGATTAGTGAAGAAATGACGCGAAATCATGAAGTAACTTTGTGTATTGACTTTTTAAACCGGGGAAAAAAATTCGATTTTTGTTTCTTCAGGGCATTTGTGTATGAAGGTTTTTTGACCGACCTGGAATGTGATCATCTGATCTCACTTGTGAGTGCAAATTATACAGTTTCAATCTTTGGGTTTGAGCTCAATTTGGAAACTTTTCCCCTGAAATGTGCTAATTTCAGTTTCTGGTTTTGATTTTTCGAAAGGCGAAAGAGAATCTGCAGAGATCTGCGGTTGCTGATAACGATAATGGCGAGAGTCAAGTCAGTGATGTTCGGACTAGCTCAGGCACGTTTATCTCCAAAGGAAAGGTGAGATTTCTCTTTGGTTTTGCTTCCATTTAGATCTCATTGAATTTCTGTAATTGGCATAGATCTTGATCGTAACAGATCTGATAAGTCAAAAACCACTATGTATGACGAATTAGATCCCTAATCCAACCCAAGAGTTCACATACTTATTGGATTGTTCATCAAATTTGAGTTATACTGATCATGTTTTGTAACTTCCTAAATAAATTGATGCTTCTGGATCTTGGTAAATCGACACAAAATTGTATTGATCTGTGTATCTATGATGATGATCAAGCGTGGTAATGGTGGTTGGTACTTAGTCATTTTTGTAATGATGACTATTTTTTCATGTAACTCTTTCTTTGCTTAATCGCAGGATCCTATTGTTTCCGGTATCGAGGACAAGCTCTCTACATGGACATTCCTTCCTAAAGGTAAGAATACAATCTGAATAGTGTGATTGTGATTTCTCTGTTTCAGGGGATCAAGAAACAAGGAGCCTCGACTCTTTTCGAGTTTCTTGAAAGGTTTTTTCAGAAGAAATTATTGTTTCTAAGTCCCTTCACTTTCGTGGTGACAGAAAATGGAGAAGATCTTCAGATACTGAGATATGAGCACGGTCAGAAATATGATGCTCACTTTGACTACTTTCACGACAAAGTCAACATCGCCCGTGGTGGACACCGCATAGCAACCGTTCTCATGTATCTATCCAATGTCACAAAGGGTGGAGAAACTGTTTTCCCTGATGCAGTGGTATGTCCATCAGTTTTCTTTTTAACATTGGTTCCATAAATGGAACAAATAGATTCTTCATTCTATCTCTGATGAATATTTTTCTGAACAGGAATCTTCTCGCCGTACGCTTTCCGAGAACAAAGACGACCTTTCTGATTGTGCAAAGAAAGGAATTGCTGGTGAGCTATATAAAACTAATCATAACATCCTCATTTTCTGGAGAAATTTTGATGGTTTTAAAAGATCAAGTGTAAAGCTGATATTGATTTCTTGATTAATGGTCTTAGTGAAACCGAAGAAAGGGAATGCTCTGTTGTTCTTCAACCTCCACCAAGACGCAGTCCCAGATGTCTTGAGCCTTCACGGAGGTTGTCCTGTGCTCGAAGGAGAGAAATGGTCAGCAACTAAGTGGATTCACGTGGACTCGTTCGATAAGATTTTGACACATGACGGTAACTGTACGGATCTAAACGACAGCTGTGAAAGATGGGCAGTGCTTGGAGAATGTGCAAAGAACCCAGAGTATATGGTGGGAACTGTAGAGCTCCCTGGAAAATGCAGACGTAGCTGTAAAGCTTGTTAAAAAAAAAATCTCTTTACTCTCTATATCATTAAGATTCTTTCTTGTTCGAGCTTTGTTTTTCTCATTTTCTTGTTTCTGATGAATTGTTGTTCGTTGATGAAAGTCCCTTGAACCAGATAGCTTTTTTTATTTTACCACTGGACTGTTTATTTTAAATCAGGTATACAAATACAAGTGTACCGCGTTCTGTTTACATGTAAACTATAGGCAGAGAGATATTATTCCATTGTGGATTGTCCAGAAATAAAAAGAGTGGTTTTTTTTAAAGACAATAAGGGCATCTCCAATGTATTTCTTATCTCTAAAATAGAGTAAAAATAGCTTCGACGACGGAGATGATTTCAAGCCCAAAAAGAAGCTTGACCCAAACGATGAGGAAGCTCAAAAAATGCTTCAGATGTATCGGAGCAAGGTATATTCGCGGTGGTTCTCTTTTGTTATACACAACTTGGGATTTATAAATTTTTACTTTATTTGATTCAGGGTTTCAATGTGGATATAGAAAACTAGTGTGGCCTACCGAGAACTCGTTCCTGTTGATCTTGGTATGCTATTTCGGGAATCTGGTGTTACTGAGCGTGAGTTCATGCAGGACATGGTGGATTAGGCTGTAGAAAGATACAACAAAACCAAGGTTCCTTTTTAATTAGGGTAGAAAGATACAACAAAACCAAGGTTCCTTTTATGTGATACAATCTTTCACTACGTTGTTTTTTACAATCTTTTATGTGATAGTGTGATACAACTTTGATGTTACATGATATTAAAATGTGGTTGCATCGCATAAAATGAGTTGACATTGTATTTATGGGGTCAATTCTTTTTTTCCCAGGTTAATTCCTACAGTTTGTATTTATTATCTTGTCAAAATACACAATACACTTTTGTTACTGCAAAGTTTACAACTTTTGACAGGGAAAGGAAGCAGTGATGGAATAGTAATTAAGAGCAAAGTTCGAAACTCACAGTGTGCTTCTAAGGAGACAACAATCTTCAGACTTGTTATTTCAACGGGCACACTTTCTCTTCTTGCTCTTTCCGACACAAATCAAACTAATTGGTGTAGTAATACATACACCCAACGTAAGCATCCATCTACTTGGGGCATTTCTGGTGAAGATCCTTCAACCTGTAATTTGATACACCAAGTTTAAGAACAAACTAGTCCAGAATTTCAAAAATGTCAACAACTACTCAACTTCAGATTTTATATATGGACAATGCATCATCATCGTCATATGGTTTGAAACTAACGAAACTAGTGAGTTCTCAAGAGATAGATCATTATATATCACAACAAAAGAGTCAAGTAACTGCTTCTAGATATCAAAAAAATGACTAGTTTTAAACCCTTTTCAACTTCAGACGGTTATGGACAATGCACCATCGTCCTTATACGGTTTAAAACTAGTGAGCTCTCAAGAAACGAATAACTAGTTTTTAAGGCTTTTCGATTCGTTTTTCAATCAAAGGAAATGATCTGTCTGCCCTTGAAGTACTTTCAACTAGGCCAAACATCTGTTCACGACCCATAATATATAAAAACTAGTCAAGTTCTAGGAATGTATATAATTCCATGGACTTTTGGTGTTTCCAAATTCATGGAAATCATCTTGTGAGCAATTGTGAACACTTATTAATCCAGAAAACAGCAAAACAACCGAAAGATTCTTCATTTCTTAAGCAATATGATCATAATCCCTAAATCTACAATGTAGCATTATCCACTTATCTTCATCGAGACTAACACAAAACAATCCCGAACTTCACTCATCAATGTCGACGTTCACAGGTTCAATGGCATTCACAGTTGGAGTATAGAGTAGATAATAAACATTGACTATTATTTGAGAAGCACACGCCAATGTTCCAAGACCATTGCATACCTGTCACATAAAACACACACAAAATATAAAACACCGATCACAAGTCAAAACAAATCTATTAATGAAAATAAGTTTGCATGGAGGAAAAAGAAGACTTACAAGGACGTAAATATCAATTTGGTAGATCAAAGAGTAGGCAGTCCAAATTGCAGCGTTGATGAAACTAACAAAAGACAATCCAAGAGGCATGCACTGAAAGATTTGCTTATCCTCCACCTCCAGTGTTTTCTATACGTGTCACGCATAAGAAACAGTTAAAATAAAAATCAGAAATCCATAATCAGTTAGTAAGTAGTTCACTTAATTATGGAGAGAAATTAGAGAGTGCTTACCACGAAGGCAAACACAGCATGAATAATAATGGTCAAAGCGGTGGAAAAACCACCAATGAATATCTGTCTACCACCATCCCGAGGTAGAAAATGAGTAACCGCAGCGAAATATTGCACGAAACTAATCCAGTACAAAAGGCTCACACGAATGTTATCTCTCTGCACATCAAAAACCAAGGTCCATTAATATACAATAATATTATCATGAGAGATTTAATTAGGCATTAAAGATAGAAACATACCCACGCTTTGTGGTCACAATACATATAATAGATAACCAAATAGATAACTTCGATTCCCAAACTGATTCCGTTAGTGATGGTGACGAGAATATTATCTTTATGAACTAGAGGGAGACCATAAATAATCCACAAAGTACATTTCATTATCATTGCTATATGACGTTGCGGTTGATAACCATCTTCCACTGATTTCTTCTTGTATATTTCTATAAACCTTGGCCTGTGTATATGTATCATAGAAATATAATGTTAATTAATAACTCTCTCTAAAAAATAATAATCCTTCTCTAAATCTGCGAAACCATTATATTATGATCCTAGATAGTGATACCACTAAAACTATAGAGACACGCATTATGAACTCTCGCATATTATAGCTAGAGATTATGATGATTAGCAACAAACTAAGAGAAAATTTAACATATAAATACACAAACAAATTATGAAAAGAGAAAGAAAAGAGATTATTACATTGGTGCAAGGGAGATCAAAGACGAAATAACAGTCCCTGCATCAAAACCAGAGAAAGATGTTAATTTAGCGATGGCGCAATGCACATTAAATATATTTCTCTCTTTATTTTACACAGGTTACGTGTG